GACGCTAAGATGGGTGATCTAGTGAATGTCAGGCACGGCTACGCTCGTCACCACGAATCGCTAGGGGCCCTCGTTTAGAACAGCCGACAGCTGCGTACAGTGCATACCGGCATTTCATGAACATAAGATTCCAATGCTCTTCGTATCCACCACGCCCCTAGCTTCTGTACCGGGTCTTTGGAGCGCCCGTGCTTTGGCCCGATATCCAGGTCCAATTGCCGTAGTCTGTTTGCCAACCAGCCACGAAACCATAATAGGCGAGGCAGCAGCTTGTATGAAGTTTCAAAACGTATCGATGCCTTATCAAGATTGAGTGATGCGAATGTCTTAGGATGAACTTTGGCATGGGGCCTACACCGAGTTATTGCTAATTTGGACCTTCAGTGGCTAGTACAGGAGCCTAACTGGCTCTATTAGCAGAAGTAATGCAAGACCAAGAATGGGAAAAGGTCGTCGCTCTCCTCTCCCTCCTTGCTACGCGGGCCGGACCTTTAGCCCAGTAGTCGAACCCTGCGGGATCCTGCAACTACCCTGAGGATGCCACGAGAGCCGACAGAAGTGGAACCGGCAGTTCATTTCTAAAAGATCGTGTTGTACTTGCATCGCCACGCGGGCCAATGATTCGTATTCTCTCGTGATGACAGACCCGTGGCGTTGGATACGGCAGCAAAAGTGGATAGCTTACATAGTTGTCGGTTATGTACGAAAGTATTGGTAGTTGGGGGTTCAGCTTATCAAAACACTATTATTTGTCTATAGGAATGCAGAAGGTCAAGTGTGTTGTGGGACCAGGATACGGACGCATGCAATGCGATGTTGAGAATCGAAACGGTAGGTAACTAAAATCCGGGATAGAGTACAGGAAATATGGGTAAGGCTGTGCATAATATGGTAAGTAATCTCGAGAGGGCTTAGCGAATATGGCTTCACGTATTCGGCTCTCGCGGGCTGACAGGGCGATGGTCAACTAGTTAGTGTTAGTCAGACCAGTGCTACAACCACCAACGTACGTAGGTATCTTTGGGATGGCGCGTATGCGACCGTGCAGTGCCCAATCGTGTTTTCTGCACAGCGATGTCCATACGAAACCATGACCTTACCCAAATCGGACTGATCGATATTCGCATCCCAAATGTTTTGATTTGGGCGTTCTTCTGTGTGGTTAGTATAATATCTTGGTTGTTTCTTTGACAATGCCATCCCTCTCGGGATGTTGCCGTGACGTCCGCACAATTCACACCGTACATTGTTAAGCACGTACCCGAGTTCGTATACTAATCCCTCGATACTTTGCTTTCTTTTTTGATCCTCGTTGCTGTCATCACAGGCTCACCGACACTTTGGTACCCCCGAAAAATCTAATAAATCAGACAGACAACGTTCATGTACGTATAAGAAATCAACCATGCTAACGGTTCGGAGAAGACGTTCCGACAACTAAAATAGGGAACTACAACTCAAAGGATTCACCGTTTTGTGGGGTATCCACTGACAGTGTGGCATTTATCGTCAGCGCTAAGCCCCTTGTGAGCGGGGGACAAACAGTACACACGCGGCGACATTTTGACTTTTTGTAGGGTATGGTAGGAACAAAACATCAGTCTCTGGTCATTCTTCGATATTAAATCTTAGTAGAGCAACTCGAGTGATGATCAATGCCCTGGTAACTGAAGCGACCTGCAATGCGAAGTGATGATAAGCCTCAGCCCTCTAGTTAATCAGCGCTTATCTTACGCCAGATCAGCCCCTTTGTCAGTCACCACGATTGGCAGCCATAGCACTACTTTGAGCAGTTGACGCCACTGTCATCAACAGACGTAAGATCCATATCGCTTGTCATGCCATTACTGCACCAGCTGTTGCTCATAGCTTGGGCCTAGGATTTTCTGACAGTCAATACGAGGGGACATACACAAGTACCATGGCTGAAACACTCTGAAAGACGAAGTCCGCAGCCCTCCAAGCTGAGTCATTCAGCTTTCTAGACACGTCGAGTCGCGACATTTCGGGGGGGTCCGGCTTAACTGTATTCTTCTACGAATAAGAAGTTACGCTTATCTCCTCCGTTGAATTGATATAATTAGTCAATTAGTAGTCAGTACACTACCTACCCGAAATGTCGCGACCCGACGTGTGCCCCCTCTGTAGTACCGTAAAAACTCACCCATACCGATTACGCCGTCGCTCTTAGCTACAGGAAATACTAATATCTTATTAGACGCAGCTGTCACTTTGGGGTAATTTCACGTATCTTATTGGTTAATAGTAATCCAGCAGCCAATTAAATTAACAGCCAAAAACGACGGCGTAACCGGTATGGGTGAGTTTTTACGGTACCTCGAATGGTCGGATCGCTGTGTATGACGGCACTAGCTTCAACTTTAAATGTGTAGAATCTCCTAATCAAGCAACACGGTGCGAGCACGTGATAGATACGCAATCTATTTTACATGGAAAATGAGTAAGTAGTTACGTATGTAAGTGCGACCGTTTGTTAGCAGTATATCCTCCAATAGTATGAGCCTTGATCATTGCGCTTGTACTGATTCTGTCGATACAATATATGTACGTTGCGCCTTGTCCCCTGCGATGCTCCTTCCATCTTCTTGGATTTTGATTTCTTAATTACTCCCATTACTCGATTTCACAACACGTCAACACCAATCACGTATGATAGCATGGTTGGTGTCCCTAAATCAACGGGTTGTGCTGTCTGCAGGAAACGCAAAATAAAGGTGAACCTTGATTTAGCATCAATAAAATGTTCTTGAAGAGATGAACAGGAAGCCTAACATTACCAAGTGCGATGAAACTTGGCCCATCTGCATCCATTGCCAGAAAAATGGAAAGCGCTGCCCCGGGCCTCCCTCCCGCCATACTTTCAAAGATCTTGGACCGAGATTGAGTTCCGACGATGCGACTTCAATTTTCAGCAGTAACTCAACTCATAGTATGCATGATCGACCGTGACCGTTCTAAGCCAAGGCGTGTACTAATGTAATACTTGGATGATCCAGCAGGGAGCAAATGCAAGATGGGTCGACGCGAAGCATCTCCATCGAGTCGAAATTTACAGCTTCCAAACGATCCGGATTTCCTGAAGCTGTCTCTTCACTCTTTGTCCTTCGTGGCTGCATTCCCATCCCCACAACATCGCCTGGCGCAAACACTAGTCGAAGCATTGGAGAGTAAGAGTGCCGGGCTCCAGCTCTCCAAGCTCGGGAACTTTATACGCAGGGTTCCTGTCAGAATCGGCCACAGTGCTGCGCTTGACGCTGCTGTAAGCTGTTTAGTTCATGTGCATCGCTCATTGGTCCAGCAAAAAAACCCCGGAGATATCATTGATCCAAAACCCTATCTTTATGCTGTTCAAATCCTTCAAGTCAGCCTGGAAGACCACCAGCAAGTCCATTCGCCCAATACGCTTTGCGCAGCCGTACTCTTAGGGGTTGTTGAGGTGAGTATCTAAGTACCAAGAACTATAGAAAAAGATACCAATATGATGCATACAGGCTATGGCAGGGCCAAGAGCAGGCACTCGATATTTGACTCATATACGTGGAGTAGGTCGACTAGGTATGTGCTGAAGTACGAAGTGAACTGAATCGCTACATGTGACTTGACGAGTTGTGCGGAATGTTCTGGGGTATCTTTACTGACTTCATATCCTTTTATTGCATAGCGGAGCTGCAAGGCCCAGGCAACTACTCGAAGGATAAATTTTTGAGAGACATTCTGCACTTTAGTGTAGGAGGTATTGTATGCCATCCTATTGTGTTATAACTTGCGTTCACCTCTCTCTATTTGATAAACTTTATATTTAATCAAGAAAAAAAGATATATTAACAATGTAGTGTAGACAATGAGCTGCGTCTATGACAGAAGACACTGCTTTTTGGCAGCACCCGAATGGGATGATATTGCCTTTAATAGAGCAGACTCTTTCTCATGCGAAGGTGCTCGACAAGAGCTTATGCGACTTTCTGCCACACTCCCCGGATTTTTATGCGACATGCAGGACCAGAATGAGCATAAAATGGGCCGAAGTAGGATTTCAACGGACGGATTTTAAGCATCGTTCAATACTGACATTGACTCTGTATCAGAACCAACTCCTCTATATGCATGTGCAAAATATGATACGTATTCAAACGAACCCGTGTTCATTCCCCGGATGGATAACACGGACTTTGTAAATGGCGTTCGAGGCTCGAAGAAACTACGCAAGGCTCTTCTCGATAAACTCTGCCGTTTCAAACAGGCTTTAGAAGATATAAGCGCATCGGTGGAAGCAAGAACATGCGACGGTTTATATAAAATCGGAACATCTGCACTCACAGACTTCAGTGGGGCGCCAGCGACTTTGGACATTCACCATAACCACGCTGTTGCGACATTTACTCTGGCCGGTGCGCTTCTTCTTGCAAGTAATAGAATACTTGTACGTCGCTGCCCATATTTCAGCCAAATATGAATCCAAGCCCATAACTAATCAACCGTACATTGTCGTGTGTAGATGGAGTTGCTTCCGTCCAGCGAGCCTTTGTACTATGCTTTAGAAGCCAAATCACGAATGAAAGCATATGAGATTTGCAACACGCTCAGAGCGGCGCACGACAATAGAACACTAGATTCTTTCAGTATGTCTTTGAGTTTCATAATGGCGTACGAATACTGCACACCAACGATGCAGGAATGGATGCTGGAGAAGATGAATGCATCACTGATGGCAACTTTGTGGTCGGACAAATTGATGCATATAATGCATGAAAAATTCTACTTGGGAGCTGCATATGCTCAAGTTGCAACGTTATACAAGTAATATACAAGAGTTGCCGCCAACGTGGCACAGAAATTCCTTTGTGGGGAGTCGATTACTGTGGGGCTCTGAAAATTTATCTTTACGCATGCCAATAACCGGAAAACCGACGAAAAATATCGTGTCTAATCACGACTTTCTACATGCTATATAAAACAATTATGCTGGAATGCACTCTGTCGCTCAGGTGGTGAAATGGTATCACGACACGTTGTGGCCGTGTTATTCTGAGTTCGATTCTCAGCCTGGGCAATGGCTTCAGTAACGGCTTCATTTTTTTGTCCCCGTTCCCTCCCACCCCCCCTTGTTCTTCAAAGCAGCGGGATGGTAATCTCTCACGATACTTCATTTGCTACCGTGGCGACTCGCCTCCATGTAAGTGAGTGTCATCTCCATCCCCTTGGCTCCCTCTTCTGGACAGTTCAATATCATCTATTGTGGCTATGGGTCTAGGCTGCACTTCTTCTGTATCTTTGAATGTCCAATAAAAGAAGAAGCCAGCAAAGCCAGCCGCGCAGGCCAATCCAGCGTACAGCCAGACCAAGTGAGGATCTTTTGCGAAAGGTGCGATAAGAATACCAAGAGCGCTACCTACGGCCGAAGTCAGAAGGTACAGGGACATGATGAAGCTCTTCATGCCTTGAGGTGCTTTGGAATAGGCCAATTCTAGGCCCGTGACACTGGCTAAAATCTCGCTGATGGCGATCAAAATGTATGCGGGTGTCTGCCACGCCACATGGATTTCATTTGGTCTATACTTGTCTTCTCCAATTTTACCGGCTTCGCAATGAGACGGGCGCTGGAAGCAGGGACCGGAAGCGTAAATGCGGGATTGGAGTACAGCCGCGTACGCCATGCCCGAGGCGGCGATAAGAAACCCGCAAGTCATGCGAGCAATCGGCCTGAAGGGAATTTTTAGACGCGTGCGCATGAAAGGATAAACAAATCTGTCTAGGACTGGGATCATGATGATAATTGTGATTGGGTCAATGTTCGGCAGGATGTCGTTGGGAAGGCCGTGAAGTTGCATTGTCCCCGCTACGCAAAGTCAGTCGCTCCGCATCCAATTCTGCATAGGTGACGCTGCTTACCTTGCGAAACAAAGTTGTTCATCATCTGACTGTAAGTCACCCAATATACAGGAAAGAAGAGACAGATTTTGCACGCTACAAGCGAAGTCTTCAACTCGTCGATGAATTTATCGTCCCATGGAAGCACATTAACGCTACTAGCTCGTGCTTGGAATGAAGGTTTTGCCTGATCAAGATCAAACCGATTTTGGGAAGCGATCCAGAGGGCTCTGAAACAGTTATTAATCACACCTCCTTGGGGTGGCTTGATAACGTATTTGTTTTTGCCGTTAACCAACACGAGAAATCCAACGCAGAACATGATGAAAGTCAATAGATAGGCACTCCAAAATCCGACGTGGAGCTCGAGCATTGTGGTAGCGATGGCCGAGATTGATCCAAGATTTATACACATATAAAACATCATGTAAATGCGTTGTACTGTAGCCTCTGGATCAACAATAACTCGTCGGCCTTTTGCTAAATGTTTGATAAAGGGCTTTGTCGATCGTACTTGTTCGGCAATCAAAGGTGAAACATTTGCTTTGATCCCACCGGTGCCGATCCCAATGATGATCATGGCTGCAATGAGTCCTGGAAGCGCTCCGCCTCTTTCAATAGAAATAGGAAGCGAAGTAGCGAAGAGGATGAGTATTCCGACCATGTAAATGATGGAGAAATACATGATAGTCCGGTACTTCCCCAGATATTGATCAGCGATTACAGCGCCCAAAATTGGCGTGACGTAGCACCATAGTTGGAAAGCATTGCTAGAGGCAGTTGCTCCTGATTGAGCCAGGCCAAGTGCTCCAGGCAATCCGTTGGGGTCATGGTATTTGTTGGCCATGTAATTTTGGAAAGGACCGGATAGACCGTAGTACGCGAAACGTTCACACAGCTCGACAATTGCCACGAGGAAAGCTCCCCAAGGCAGGCTATCTGAGACTTTGGGAAGAGTCGCGAGCTCGGTCAGGGTTGGAATTTCGCCATCAGGGGCTGTAAGCTTAATGTCGAAGCCGTCCTCTGTATTCTTCCTATGAGGTAGTCAGTGGCGGTGATAGTATTTGTACCGATCAATTGATACTTCATGTATGTATACGTTCAAAATCGACTGTTGACTCATTTGATGTGTTCTCATGACGTGTTCGTGTTCAATTCAAGGAAAGGTAGGTGTGAAGAGTCTGTCGCTATGAAGTGGAAAAACACGGCTCTGGAAACTTACAGGAAGTCATCATTCACAAAATCATGTTCCGCATTTCCATCTTCGACTTGTGCTACACTCATGTAGGCGCCTCTGTCTTCCCTTGCTGAAGTATTCCATCCTACCGACATGATTGGGTTATGGTCGAATGTCTTGCAAAACCGCCCGACACCCCTAGCATCGTCGTCTAAATATGGGTTGCTGGTGAGTACTGTACTCCTAAGCGCAATGTGGTTGATCGGCAGTAAGTATCTATATTCACCTTGATAACAAGCAGTATGAAATATTGCGCGAGGGTCGTCGGCAGATGAAGCCACGATACTTGAAGGTCTGAAGCTAAGGTGAGACGGAACCCCGGTCCTTCTATGCCGCATTCGGAGTTGAATACGCCACACTTTCGCCACCTGGGCACGACGAAATTAGTGTACCTTGTCCGGCTCCGCAACTTCAAAGTCTGTTTGCAACCAAACAAGAGATAACTCAGTTGACGGCTCTCTCATTAACTAACCACTATTCATCCAGTCTCATTGCACTAAGGTGGACTTGCCGAGGGTGAATTCACTCATTCCCGAATTCACAAACACTTCTCGCTGACAACCAGCTCCTCACATATCCTGAATCCTCATGGTGTCTTTTGCTGCTGCATGCCCGTCATACCTTCCACCCGATTAGAAAGATCCTTTTCCACATCAACACTTTGACATGCGTCCTTAGCTTCAGCTCCACCATCACTATTTTGCGGATTCTTCAGGTGATCCCACAAACCATGTTCCAACCTCCGTCGCTGCGTCTGAGTTTGTGTTACCGTCGAATCCCTTCGCATTTGTGACTCCAGCATCACCAATTCAGAGTCGCGTTTTTGGAGTGTTCGCTGTTTGCGCCGCCGAAAACCCTTCCTGCAATCTAGCACTCCGATCGTGCAACCCATAACCAGCAACACAACGACCACGACAACACTGGCGATGATGCCGATTTTTGTCTTTCTGTCGAGACCACTGGTTCCGAGTGAAGATGACATTGCGATACGTGGCGGGTTTTTCAAATGGAACGCGAGATGTGTGCGAGTGGTTTCCGTGTCTGGTGGCTATCAGGCTGATTGATCTACGAACGGCTGCGTAGCGGCTTTGTTCCCTTGTAATAAGATCGTCCCTACTAAATTTCCCGACATTCAATGGCGATATCGTCTCGCTTTCGCGTCGGAACGTTGTGGCCGACAAGAGGTTGCAGAGAATATTTGAAGTTGAACCACGTTGTTTCGAGCTGCACATTGTCTATAAGAACTATAGGTGAGATGGACAGGTCATATGGATAGCGCGACTATTGATATGTTTTCAGTTATTAGGCCGACGACATAAAGTAGACCCTGATGTGCGAGGCCCAGCCTGCAAGGCCGCACCCAATACCCTACTCATTGGACAAGCTGCACAATCTTGCAGGCCAGCATCGATCACATATCCCTATTCGTCCAATTATCCCTAGCAGTCACAAAGATGTATACACAGTAAGTTGCATATTCGGTGATTGGGGTGTGATACAGGTGGCGGGGGTGTCACAGCAGGAAGAGGGGCACCCAATTTCCATGAATCGGAAACAGCGAGAAGTTGCCACAGCCATTAGGAGCTCTTTCAGAAAAGCTCAATCAAAGATATACTTTGGCGAATATTGAAATTGCTCTCTAGAGATTCAAACAACCAGGGGAGGACCAGCAAGCCCACCGACACACTGTCACACCTATGGTGCAGTCAAATATGATGGAAAGTGAATCCACCTAGATATATACATACCTTGGTAGCATGTCACGCACATTCCCTATCAAGTGCGCTTTGCTTTGAAAAAATCATCCAAAAGTTTCTTGACCTCTCCTAGTTTTGTGCCATTGGTCAGGCTACCCCGGATCCATCCAGGGAGCTTAGCCTGAATGCGTTGCCCACCATAACGAGAATCCAACATGAGAATTGCAGCGTAATCTGCTCGGTGTCGAATCGCACGTCCCACACATTGATTGACTGCACGCATGCATGCGTTTTCATAAAAGTCGCGTGCTGCTGCTTTCCCATCCTGTCCCACACTGGCTGCCTTGGACGAGATATATTGCATTTTTGCCTTCCACTCTGCAGAATGGGGGTTGGGAAATGGCAGGCCAACCACAACGACACCTCGGCCAAGAGAGTCGCTGAAATTGATGCCTTCGGATAACGTCCCGCCAATTACAGCAAACAACAGTGCTCCACGACCATTGCCCGAGGTCACGGTATTGCTATAAGCACTTAATACTGAATCAACAGTCGTCTCTTTCTTTGATGAATCACTTTCAGAGTCTCCCGCGGATTGGCTACGTTGCTCAAAAAAGATTGGTTTGATGCGTCGCATCATTTCCAAACAGGAATCATCATCGAAAGATAGACTTAGTCTTTTCCAAGCGGCTATGCATGTGTCCAGATAGGTGTAGCTAGGGAAGAAAACAACCACACCATCAGGGATGTGCTGCACGATACCGAGAAGGGTATGGCCCAGGTCTATCATCTGCGATGTACGTCAGTACGAAGTAAAATAGGAAAGGGGAATCGTACCATCTGCTCCGAGTTGCGTTTTTCAAATGTGAAGTTGAAGTCGGCTCCACTGTGCGTCTGGACGACAGGGACTGCCAGGAGGTTTGACGGCGGTACAACATGACCGCAGGACAACGTTTTTATTCTGGAGGCGTCTAGGTAAGACAACAAATGTTTCTCATAATCACTCATCTGTAATGTGTAAGCAGTGGTGAAGGAGAGTGCATGGTTGAGGGCGTACCGGAGACATTGTACCACCTGCTAAAACAACCGCCCGAGCATCGTCAACGATGTCTTTGAAGTGGAATGTTGGGTCTAAAAGTAGATATTTCAGAGCAATGCTGGATGATTCTTCTCTGGAATAGAAGAAGCGACCTTCATTTGACGGATTCATGAGAGACAGTAGGAACGATTGTACGTGTGTTAGGACAG